AAATCTTTAGTCCTTTCTAGTCTCACTTTCATCAGACACACAGTGCAGAGCAAACTGGCTCAGAAAATGCTTCTACATATGGCCAAAGAGCTGAGAACCACAGCACACGACACATCCTGCATCACGATGGGCTCTGGCCTGGACTTTGCACTGGAGACCTTCTACAGAAAGTCTTAACACTGATTGTTGCAAGGGTGGCAGGCACGTCAGTGAGTCATGGTTCTTGTCTTCATTGTATGTATTTTCCAGAATATCTAAAGCACAAACGATTACCACTTACAATTGAAAATGTAACTGTAACTTTAAAAAAAAGTTGTGTTTCAATCCTGTACAGGTCTTGACGGAGGATGGAACGCCGAGCCGTTCAGCCCCCTGCCTGTCCAGGCTCTCACCACGGCCGGCAATGCTGCCGCCCAGCTCCCTGTCACTTGGTCAGCTAAAATAAAGGCACTCAGTGGCACCCCAAGCCCCAGCCACAGAACTCTGGACCCACAAGAGTCCAGCTCAGCACAGAGAATGAGTAGCTTGCCCAAGGTCACACCTGGGGCTGTGAACACCTGGTTTCCTCACTCCCAAATGTATGCCTGCTTCCACAGTTCCTTCTTTTACGTGGGAGTCATAAATCAACACATGTAAAGAAATGCAACTTTTGGGGGTGACCGGTTAGCTCAGTTGGTTAGAGCATTGTGCTGATAACACCAAGGTTGTCGGTTCGATCCCTGCATGGGCCACTGTGAGCTGCGCTCTCCCTTAAAGAGTCAATTGTGCCATTATAGCATGAAAGCAATGTGTAACCAATGACCATTTCTGTTCCCCAAAAGAAATTTAAAAACAAACAAACACAACTTAAAAAAAAAAAAATCTGGCAAGAATGACCATGTCAAAAGGCCGGTTTCATGCTCTAGATTATTAATGGAAAGAGCAGAAGGACTGGATGGATAAGACGCTTTCCTGGTCCCAAAGGAACACAGCAGAAACATACCATCCCGAGGGAAGACCTCAGAGACAGCCTGATGGGACAAGGCAGCTGTCGTGGGAACCTGGTGTTCAGGACACACCAGAGCTGTTCTGAGACCCGCTGTCCCGAGGGGGGTCACGGGCAGCACCGCGCTGTCCACTTCCCCCGCTCCCTCCACAGGTAGGCGTCCCAAGAGCACCTCCTAAGGAGCCCCCTGCACACTAAACTGTGCCTCAGAGTCAGCTTCCTAGGAAACCCAGCCGGTGACAGGTGGGTTATTTGTGTCCTTCTTCCTTAGAAAGGAAGGAGAAGCCCAGTGTGAGGGAGACAAATGGGCACTGTGGAGGAAAAGGCGGGAAAGACGAAACAAAAGGCACGATGTCCTCTTCGCTTCCTCTGCAGTGTAAACAGTGGTGTTAAAACAGAGGCCAAGCCACACGGCACCAGGCTGCGTCTTCCAGGAGCCAGGCCTGGGAAGACGGGAAACCCAACCACATTCTCCAAGCAGCATCAAGTTTGTCCTGACTTCTTTCCTCATGGACAGAAAGACACAAAAAGGCCACAGAGGACCCCTGCAGAAGGAAGAGGGGGGAAATGTCTCCCTAGGGCCATGCTGTGCCAAACCCAGAGACACAGCCACGGAAAGTGCCAGAGTCCCCAGTGATGAGCTGATGGATAACTGGAAACGAGGTATGTTCAGAGCTCCGAAGGTGGTGCCAAGGATCCACTCGCTCTCCCCACAAGGTCGCACTGTTCGACCCAGGAATCGGCCTAGGTAACCAACCAAAACATCTGCATGGCTTTGCTTCTGGCCACAATTACATGGACTCTGAAGGCGACGGTTATATTCCTGATTCCCTCTGGTGAGAGCCCTGTATCAGTAGATAAGTCTTCCATTTGGAAGTAAAATTTCATCATCATTTCACAAATGTGGTGTGTTGGACAGACAAAATCTTTCCAATAACCAGCTCCAGGGAAGGAAAAGGCACCTACCTGTGTGGTGTGCCCCTCAGCCGGTCGGACCTCCTCCACTACAGATGAGGGGGTGAGGCCTGCACGAGAACAGGGCTAGTTCACGGTCCCACGGCCGGGCTCAGCCAGGAACTCACTGCCCAAAGGAGAGACTTTCTCCAATGCCACATGGCCGGTCACATTGGAGCAGACAGAAGCTTGGCCCAGGACAGGCCCCCAGCTACGTGGTGGGGTCCCCAGCACAAGCTCCAAGGAGAGCAACTAGGCAGCACGTAGAGGCACAAAGCCCCCAGCCCCGCAATCCCAGCCCTGGGAGTTGATCCTACAGTTCCACTTGCCCCTTGCAGATGGCCCCTTCTAACGGTCCACCATAAGGGCTGCTCACATGATCTGGGAGACATACACTGTGGTGACACCAAGCCAGCGCAACGCATGCCGATGGAGAACAACTGCTAAGACACACTGTTCGGTGGCAAAGAGCAGGTGGACAGCATGCCACCACCGTCACCGGCATAGATGCACACATTATATTCATATATCCATATAGACTCATACCCAGGCCACCTGACTAGAAATGATGGTGGGAAGGAGACTAATTTTTCACAGTCCGCGTTTTGACATCTTTTGAATTTTCTACATGTGAATATAATGCATAGTGAAAACATAAATAAAATATGAGCAACAGCTTTATGGGTAGGGGGTTTCCTTTTGGGGTGATGAAAATATTTTAGAACTAGACAGAGGGGGTGTTCGCACAACTCTGTGAATGTACTAAACGCCACTGAACCGTTCACCTTAAAATGGTTCATTTTGTTATGTGACGTTCACCTCAATTAAAAAATTTTTTAAAAATGAATGAACGAAGAAACGGACAGATGGATGAGTTTTTTACATCTGAGATTAAGGGACGGCTTCGCTAGAAGCATGGGCATGGCGGCTCAACCGTGGGCCTCAAATCCCAGCTACGCCCAGCACCAGACCTCAGACAAGTAATCTAACCTTCCTGGGATTCATTCAGTTTCCTCCTCTGTGAAAGGGGCATAAAGACAAACCTGCTTCCTTGGGTTGCTGTGATGAGTAAATTAAATAGTCCACAAATAATCCATGTCAAGTGTCTAGCTCGGCGCCTGGCACAGCCCAGAGCCTCAGGGCCACTGTTCTTGCTGTCCGTCCCGCTAAGAGCAGCTGAGAGCAGCCTTTCCCCGGGAGACGCATGGTCCATTCCCTCCCCTCCTTCAAGCCTCTGTTCAAAAGCCACCTTCTCAATGGGGCCTTCCCTGACCACCTGATTTAAAACTGGGACCCTCGGTGGCAGCTCCATCCCCTCCTCTGCCTCTTTCTTTCCCAGGAATTCGCTATTTATTTCATCATCTCCTGTCCCCTTCTACTGCACTGCCTGCTCTGGGGAGGCAGAGGTTCCTGTCACTCCTGTCCACTATGTACCCCAGGGCCTTGAACAGAGCGTGGCCTGGGGCAGGTGCTCAATGAATACGTGTGGAATGAATGAAAGGTGTTAGCCAATATCTCCAGCCTGATCTCAGTGGAAACTTGCCTGAGAAAACTGCTGTTTCATTGTTTAATGAGCTTGAAAAACTTAAAGCTGAAATTTAAAAACCCACAGTAGGTCCAGCTAAGCATTATTCTCAAAGGGGGGGGGGGATTTGCAAAGGAGAAGAGACAATTCTCAGTAAGATGGTGCTACATGCTCCAAAACATAAACCAACAAATGTCACCCTGACTGCCCAGGGTGGTGTGAGAGCGGTCACCGTGCAGCTCTCAAGAGAAGCAAGGACACAGTGCTACCGAGGGTGCCTCAGATCCCTCTGGGCACTTCAGGACAGGATTGTCCATTCAGGGAGAATGGGACAGACTGAAAGCAGCAAGCCAGGCTCGTCCCCTCCAGGGCCTGCCCTGCCCTGTCCCCCTGCACTTGGCAGAGCTGTCATCCCAGTGGGACTGGGCTTCCCAGGGCTCTCAGGCCTCATAGGGAGAAATCGTGACACCAAGAATCCAGAGTTCACAAAAACAAAACAAAAAACAACCCTCAGACTCTTCTAAAAATAGGCTCTTTCTATCGGAGTTAGCTCTCCTATGAGATGGCTCCATCATTCCTCCACAGAAGAATATAGCTGCTTTCCCCCTGCCTCCAAACCCTTATGCAGAGAGAAAAAGCTGAAGCCAGCAGTCTCCAAGAGTTTGTGGTTTTAAAAAAGAGCATAAAACCAAATCTGCAAGTTTAAGCAAAACCAGCAAGGAGCATCCTATTGTGAGCCATGACTAGGGAGTCAGTAACCTGGCTGCTGGCTAGAACCTGGAGCTGGGGGGAGGGGGTGGGCTGAGTTAGCAGGCACCTACCTAAGACCATGGATCTCTCAATTTTCCCCCCCGGAATGTCAGGATCAAGTGACCGGCTCTGAAAATGCTGATTGCAGGGTCCCACCCCAGAGTTCCTGATGCAATAGGTCTGGGGCGGGGCCCTATAATTTGCATTTCTAACCAGTTCCCAGGCAAAAAGATGGTGCTGGTCCAGAAGACCAGGCTTTGAGAACTACTGCTCTAGAACAATCTTCCATGCTTGTGTTACAGCTGCCTCAAATGCACACTGTACCTGCAGACAGACAGACACACACGTGCACGCGCAACCATACAGAGCCCCTGCCCTACCACTGGTCCTCAAATAGCCGGGCCTGCCTGGCCCAACCTACTACTGATGCACCGCTCAGGGGCACTGGCACCTGAGGAAGCTGCTGCCATTCAAGTCCTGAACAAGCCAGTCACTGTAAGGCACACCCGAAACCCTTGAAAACCAGTCACAGGTCACTTCCTTTTTCTGAAAGCAGTCATGAGCAATCCCACCCTGCTTCCTCCTGCGCACATGGGTAACCCTCAGCTGCAAGATCTGCTTTCTCCCAGGCATGCTTTTCAAGTTTCTGAAACAGAAGCAGCGGCTGAAAGAGGAAGCCAAATTTAAAAAGGGGGCGGGAGGGGGGGACACTCAAGGAGCGCTACAGCATCCCTGGTGGGGGACTCCATCACCCACTGTGGGCACCACCACCAGCCTCTCACTCACCAAAGTAATCGGCCTTCGGGTGAGCATCCATCTCACGTTCCAGACGTTGGGTAAGGGCTTCTAGTTTCAGTTCGGCGGCTGAGGGCCCAACCTCAGGGCCGGGGATGAGAGTCTGGCAAGGCAGCCTCACTCTGTGGGTGTTGGGGCTCTCTGGGAGCACAGGCCCTAGGCTGCCCTCAGAGGACCAGCCAGGGGGACCTTCTTTACAGGATAACTCAGGCAGGGTGTACATCACTGGATGGACACGGCTGGTGGGGCTGAGCTTGGGACCAATGCCAGGGTCTGTACAGCCAGGCTTGGGACCCAGGCCAGGGGCCGCACCCAGCTGCAAACTGTCCAGGCTGGCTGGTAAGGACGATGGGCCAGAACTAGAAAGGTAAGGTTTGGGCCCATCCTGGAACCAGAGTTGAGGATCCACATTTGGTTTGCGCATCATGCCTGAAACCTCATTCTCCACCCCCGAGTTTGTTCTTGGCAGAGCTCCTTGACCGGAGCAGCTCAGGGCCAGTGGTGCTGAGAAAGAAGGGGTTCTGGACGGAGCAGGCCCCAGGAGGGCCCCGTTCTCCGGGCCTGAGGAGGGAAGGCCAGGGCTCACCCGCTGGGAAGTGGCAGTGGCCCAAAGACCCGCTGGGTTCTCACTGCTGCGGCCACCAACACCGCCATCCTGGCCACTCTCGAATGACTTGCTGGAGCTCAGGGAGAGCTGCGGCTGGTACAGGTGATGGTCCCTGGAAGGTCTGGGCAGTGGTGGATCGCTTCCTGGGGAGCCAGCCCACCCACTCCCTACACCCAGCCTGATGCCAGAGGACGCTCCTAGTTCTTCACCCCACTTCGGGCTTGCCAAGGAGAGGTTGTCATAATAGTCTCCATGGGTGAGGCAGGAAGGATCCTCGCAGGGGTCCAGCCGGTGGAAAGCAGGCATCTCAGAACTTGCCGGGTTTTCCTTGGAACCACAGTTCTGGCTACCAGACTTTGTGCCTCGGACATTTGGCCTGGCCCTCTGCTCCTGGGGTGGGTACAAGGGTTGCCCAGCAGCGATGGTGGTGGCTGTCCCAGGAGCTACTGTGGAGGCGGCCAGAGGGGGCTTCGCAGCACCATCCACGGTCAGCTTGCTGCCAGCACCAGCTTCCCGCTGGGCCTGTGGGCCTGGGCGGCCTCCACCATTGACCGGGCCTCGGCTCCCCCTGGGCAGGGTCTCGTCCTGCAGGAGCTGTTGCTGCTGCTGGAGGTGGATTTTGGCCATCTTGGTGGCAAACACCCTGCGTGTTTCCTCAAACTCCGGGTTGTTGCCTGCACCCTTGTCCACTCGGAAGAGTCCATCCTTGGAGGCCTCGTACATGTTCAGGTCCTCGATGAATTTACTGGCCTCCAAGCCCAGGTCATCGTACTTGTCCATGTCTCAGAGCGGCGTGGGGCCTAGGCCAAGGCGCAGGGTAGTGGAGGGGTGTGTGTTTGTTAGGGCGGAGCGGGAAATGCTGGAGAAATGCAGGGACTCAAGTCCAGCCCAGGACGAGTAAAGCCTTCCACCTGCCCGGCGTGAGAGTCATGACCCCAGGCCTTCGAGTGTCGCCGAAGTGGAGGCCTCAGGGCAGCTGGACCAGGTTCGCTTCCAACTCCCTTTCCCCTTGGAGGTGTCCACGTGGGGGCGGATGGTGGCGCTTCGCTGTCCCAGCTTGCTGCGCGGTTCTTTCCTCTTTTTCAAATCATAAAAGAAAAAACAGAAGAAGAAAAAATCACATCCTCCTTAAGCCACCAAACTCGGAAACCCACACGGCAGCTGCCGCTGTACGGAGCAGGGGTGAAGCCGGCTCCGCCGGAAAGTGCCGAGGCCGCCGACGCGCCCGGCCGGAGCGAAGGCGCGGCGGCCGGCGTCGCAGGCACGTCCCGGGCGCGCGAGCCCCGCGGCTTCCCCGGCGGCCGCCGCGGAGCTGGGATCCTGGCCCGCGCCAGGCGGGAGCGCGGGCTCCAGCGCACGGGCCGGCGGGGCCCCGGCAGGAAGTTCAGCGCGGCCGGGACGGGCGGCCTATTGTCCGATGGCGGCGGTGGCTGGGCGCGCACGGGCCAGGACGGCGGGACACGGAAGTGAGGGCGCCGGCCGCCGTCCCTGCCGC